AGATTTGCTTAGCGATCTTGAACCACTGGAAAGAGATCTTCAAAGAGCCCTATTCATAGTCTAGCAGCAATGACATGTTTTCATATCAAAGAAATCCAAGCCTTCGAACTTATCCGCATATGGGTAATTAACGACTGCAGCTTTTCATTCGCATTGCGGGAAACCTCGTAAAATAATCCCTCACAAATCATCCTACATTCTCTTTTGTGAGTGAAAAAGTGCGCGATTTGCTAAGAATACGGTATTTGAATTACGATTGTCCAAACTCCAAAGATTATTTTTGGAATGTGCGGTAAAATTTTCGAGGTCGTACATAGTGAGAGAATTATTGAGGTTGAGAAACACAGCTACAGTGAGCAAACTTCGTAGATTTGACATCTGCCAAATATTATCTTGATCGGCAGCTATTGTTTGGTTATCAAAGGTAGCGAACGTCATCGCTGCAGACACCGAGCTCCGTTTTGTCTTGGCTTTAAATGTTTCATAGCTCATATTAATGACTGCTGCAACTCACAGAACTTGAAGCCTATGCTGAATATGTGATTTTTTTCTGGCATTGGACAGTTGCACACTAAAATGCACCATCTTTTTGCTTTCATCATCCAGATGTGTACATTTATGATATTCAGCATGAGAAGAGCAGCAGGAGTGCATATGCGAGCTTCGCGTCACCGTATAATTGCTTTAACTGGACAAGAACAGAAGAAACTCGCTCCATCATTGAAGTATGTAGGTGCTTTACTATTCCTCGAGCGCTACACGAACACTTTCTTGTCCAGGAAAGGGCAACGAAAAGAGCTCACACAGCAGATCAAAGCAATCTCGGCCGCTCGGGACAACACGTGCAATACTGTGGAAAATCTTCCCATTCGATTCAAAAAGTAAGTCAGAAATCATTTTTTTCTTTTCTTCCAGTTTCAAAATACCCGAGGTAGACAGCTGTAGCGGCGTGCCTAACAAGCATACAAACAAGTGTATCTGTAGAAAAAAGACTGAACTCACTTGCATGAATTATTGAGCTAGCGTTATGCTATTAAGGTAAAAAACATGGACCATTTAAGGTTGATTTTAACATATCGAACATATGTGCATGACATATTACTTAAAATCATCAACATTTCTGCCAAATATAGAGTAGACCATTGCCTCTGCTGTCGTCACGGCCCCTAAAGCTCAGACATAATAG